GGAATATATATATATATATATATTTGACCTTATTTTTGAATGCTTCCCACTTCTTATTCAATGGAGACTGCTTTGAGGGCACAAAAACAACTTCTGTTCTCGTGCTTCTTTCAACTTTTGAAGAAGAAGGGTCATGCTGTAGATGCTTTCTCTTTTTTGGATTGCTGCTCAACTCATCCTTTACAATATCATATCCCTTCTTTGCTAAATCTATGAACTTTGCTTCCTTGAATCTTTGGAATGCTGAGGAAGCATTTGAGGTAGAAATCCTTGATTTATATTTTCCAAATAATGTTTCTGCAGTATCATCAGAATCTGACTGCTTGGTTGCCTGTTCCCCATCCGAGGCCTTGGATCCGTCTTTAACGTTTTCACCCGTTTTAGCTGACGTTCCGGCAGCCTCCTCCTTCCCAATTCCTAAAGTTCCTTTCACGTCTTCTGTGGCAGCAGAAATCTTCTCCTTCAAATTTGCAGAAACCTACAAGTATAATAACGAATTAACAACCAATTGATTTCTTCAACCACTTATGAAAGCGCACGAACTAGACATCATAACATGTAGCATTGCAAAAATACCTAGTTTGCACTAGAAAAAGAAAAAAATTAATAACGCTAATGCAGGAGCAGAGATAACAAACTAGGGAATACTTCCGCAAAAGGTGGCCCTAGTTCCTACTACACTACCTTCAGATACGTGCATTTATGACATACTCATGCCTCCTATGTCTACAGACATAAGATGTAAGAGAAAATGATATATTAAAACATTGAAAACAGAAAGAAAAAGGAAAACAGTCGTATCCATAAGAAAAGCAGTAACATAAAAACTTATTAAAAAGTCTATTCAAAACGAACCATCTTCGCTTTTGCTTCGGCCTCTGTCCACGCGCCATCCACCTGCTTGTAAAGCTGCTCAGTAGTCTGCTTTGTTCTGCATTCGCCATTTCACCATCTCAGGGCCTCCATTGAAGTGTCCACCCAGCCTTGACATACAACGGTATGTCTCAGCCTATAAAATAAAATGCCGAAAGAACACAAAACCAAAATGATCATAACAAAGAAAAGGAAAAATTACCTAACTTTCAGGTCTTCTTTCACTCCTTTTAGCTCTCGTGCTTTGTCCTTCAACTCCTTAACTGACTGTTGAAATTCTGAATTCCTGCCAACATAAGAAAAATGTCCAAAACATCCAATCACTATGAAAATACAAAAGGAGCCTCTAAAAGGATCAAATAACTAAAGAAAGCATAGCAATATTCCTCGCAATTGAAAAGCTTATACCAAAAATAGAGAAGAAAATGAAAAGTCTTGCATATCTCAATCAAATATACATGGGACATATAATACATGCCTCAATCAATCTTAGCTAAACTAAGAATTGCTTTAGGCTCTAACCATCAGTCAAAACACTATAAAGACTTGAGCTTTATTTAAAAGAACAATAGTACTCTAGGTACATAACAAAGACCAAACAATGCCAAATATATAAAACCGACTTATATAAGAATAGAGATAAATTACTTATTCGCTTCGCCTTTCACTTGCTTAGAAAATTCATTGAATACACTGAAACGACGATTCCCAGAAAACCCATTTGCCGGAGGCAACAGTAATCTCGAACTCGAGGCCTGCTTTAGAAAAATCACCATAAATATAAAAAATTTGGACTGAAAAGAAAGAAAGAAAGAAAGAAAGAAAAGAAAAGTAATAATTTTTCTAAGCTGAAAATTCGTTGGAAGAAGCTACCTGTGGTTGAGAGTGCGTGAGCTGAAGAAAGAGGCGTGACTTGGAAAGCAAATAATCTCGAACCAGCTTTCTACCGGCCATGAAAAGAATTAAGAAAATTTCGAGGACACTGGTTTCTCGGGAAAATTTTCGGAAGAGAAAGAAGGGAAGAAAGAGAGGACTCCGTTAGGGTTTATGCCTCTTTCAATTTTTGGGCCAATGTGCATAAATGGGCCCGATGATAGTGTGTTCATTAGGTCGGCCCAACAAACGACATGGCGTTCACGTCTTTTCCTTTTACCCAAAATGCGTGGGGAAGGAAAATGGCAGTAAATAACACATTTTTGAAACTAAAAACTAAATATGAGATTTTAAAATTATTTAAAGTAGAAACAGCATATCATATAAATACTGCATTTACCAAAAAAAAAAAAAAAAGGAAAGTTTACCACGAAAATATTTCAGTTACGGCTTATTTTGCTTCAATTTTCGTTTTCTTCACTCTCCTAGCGAATTGTTTTAACTGGTCTATATTCATGTATAAGAAAATTTTGAGAAACATATTCATTAATAAAAAAATGGTCGTGAAACATATTCATTAACAAAAAAATGGTCGTTAGCCTAATAAGTGTAATGTAGTTGTTGCAGATTTAGATTAGTGTTAATTTTACACCATCTCTAATATAAGTTAGAGGAAAATGACAGTTACCCAATTTAATGAAAAATTTACGAATTATACACATGGTCTAAGAACATCTCCAATTCAATATTATAATTAATGTGCTAATTATAAATTTAATATTTGAGTGTAAAAAACACTCTCTAATGCAATGCTATTTATTTATTTATTTTTTAAATTTTCTATATGTTGTACTTTGTGTCAAATTTTCTCACTAAGTATATAGCATATAAAAAATTTAGCATTTAATTACTATTGATTGAAATGTTTACTGTTTTCATGTAATCAATGAAATTTATACATTTTTTAATTATTTTAAAAATAAAAATTTACTTTTACAACTTTTAAAACTTAATAATTATAAAAAATAGTAGATTTAACATTATAAATAACATTATACATTGGAATAAAAATAAAATAACATATCATATTATACTTTTTGATGCTAAATATATAATTAATATTAACATTTATATTGGATATGGTCTAATATAATTGCAATGCATTTATCTATTTTATTAGAAAAAACATCAGCATTTATATAAAGTGGGTAATAGTTATACTCATATTCCTTTCAATTTCAACTGTTTGCGCCCATAATTTAGCGTATTAAAAAATAAATTGTAACCATTGGATTTCTCTCTCTTCTTAAAGAGAATTGTTAACTTTTGTTTTGAATCTTATGTGGCGTTTGGTTTATGAATTCAAATTATGTGATTAGAATTATTTTTTATTTACGTGTATTTTTATGAGAGAAAATACTGTAACAAATCACGAACCATGATTCGAATCAGAAAATAAAGACTCTTTTTTTTTAGTGGGCGAAAATATCCAAGTGCACTTCCAAACATTAATAGACGAGATACGATGCTATAAATTTGAAAAGAAAAATTAAAACTTGGATGGAGCTTTTATTTAAGATTTTATGGAAAACTAAACAAGCGATGATAAAAAAAAAAAAAAAAAGTTACTCATGGGGGGTTTGGGAAAAGAATAACCTGACAATGAAACAAAATGCGATTTTTGGGAGCCAAAAATATATAGTTTTCCTAATTTTTTTCACAACTTTTAAAAATAAAGATATTAATCGGGTACATTTAAAACTCGTTCTAAAATGATTTTATTTTTTATATAAAAATAAAAATAAAAACGTTTTCAATCTCAGATAAAAATTATTTTTAAAAATGCATTTGATAATTTTATCAAACGATTATTTTCAATATAAAAAAATTCATTAATGTCTCTTTATACTCGAGAGAAAAGAAAACGAAAACAAAAACAAAAAATAAATAACGACTAAAAATTATTTTTCATTTCTCTCACATTTTATACTAAACCAAAATATCGTTTTCATTTTCACTTTTTATCTTTAATTATGCCAAACACCGTTTCTCTCATGTTTTTATTTTTTTCTTTCTCAAAAAACGTGAAATACAACTCGAAACACAACCATTACATCGCAACAGAGAAAACGGAGTTAAAAAAAGGAATACATAAAAAACTTCCTTCCACCATCAAAGTACACTTTACAGATCCATCAACACATGTATAGTGCACAGATAAAGCCAACCAATGCTGAGGAATCCAGCGAGAAGAGATCATTTCTTCCGGCGATTTACGTCTCGGTTTAAAAACTCGAACTTCAACATTGCTTGAATTTTAACCACAGCACCCCAAATAATGGGATCAATTTGCTGTTTTTGAGTGTTTGATAAGCCAGTCAATAACCACATCGATATTGATCGAATCCTTGCATGAGATCATGTAGCAGCAAACCTCTCTGTCCCCGACTGAGTCAAGACCTCTGAAACCACCCAAAAGAAGACATTAAGATCGACATGGATTTTACGCAAGCAACAAAGAAGTTATTACTACTATCATCTAGTGTTATGGGGACTAATGAAGCAAACTTGTGGTGAGGATTTGCTTAACTCACAGCTGTTCGACCAAGGCTTGCTTGGTAAGAGCCTCTGACTTATCGATTTTATTGCCGAGAACAAGTAAAGGAATTCCCGTTAGTGAAGGCTTCATCAAGAGGTCATGTAGCTCGCTTCGAGATATTGGAACACTGTCTCTGTCAGCAGCATCAACAACATACCTGCCATAATACTCGGTATAAGAGGACTGGCTACACAGTATAAAGATTGAAAGACGCCACAGCTGATATCCAAATCAAACATAAATCTGAATACCAAAACTATACAAAGCTGTATAAGGTGGGGCGCATTTTAGGATGTTAAAGATGATAGGGGGGGAAAAAAAAAAAAAGAAACAAACTAGAAAGAAAGGCAAGAAAGCTTTTCTCTTCTGCCGTTACACAGCTTATGAGGCTCACTTTCAATTATACTTGTCAAGAAAAGAGCTGAAAAAGCTTGTGTAGATCATTAATTCATTATTTAGGTCGAGGCTTTCGACTATAGTTTGCTTCATAAAAAACCCAAATAAAGGGGTGAAAGCAAAAGTGATTAGCTTTTATGTCAACCACATGATTTGCTATTGATACCAGTCTTCCACTTGTATAAGAGAATGAAAATACTTATAATCTGACGTTAGCTCAGTTTAAAACTGGATTTATTTTCTAGAACCAAGATGTTAATCTTCTTGCCTACAGCAGGAAATCAGTTATTTCTTTGAAAGCAAATAGAGCACTGAATGAAAGCAAGTAGAGCAATGAATGAATATTTTTTACGCCCTAATACTTATTCATAGAATTTAAAAGAGATGAGTCTTGACGGGAGAGAAGGCGTTACACAATTGCGGAGACACCACGACAATAACGCTCCCACATCGAACGGAACCTCCTTTGCCCTCCAAGGTCCCAAAGTTTAATTGTGACATTTCCCTTTGTAACTTTCTTCATGTTGAATCCAACCTGGTAATTGAGAATGTTTTAGTAAGATATCATTTTAGCACCATAAATGCTTAATCCATAATTGGTTAAGGTAAGGAAAAATAATCTTGTTGAAAAAAAGAAACAATTTTTTTTAATATAAAGAAAGAAAAGTTCACTAAAATAATCAAGAGAAAGTTAAAAAGGAGAACAAAAGCCTTACTAAATAAAATACCAAAGAAATAAGAAAAGGTTGTAACTTTTTATTTTTAAGGAAAAAGAAAAACCCTTGCACCTAATACTTTCATAAATAACCCACCCTAAGTGTCAAGTCATGATACTTACAGTTGGAATCATGTCCTCACTGTAGCCCCCGGTCTGGTGAAACACCAAAGGATTAATGTCAGAGAAGCCACTAAATATACCAGAAAGTTTTTGCAGAGTTTTTCTTGCTACTTACGGCAATGGAATTTACAAGAGACGTCTTCCCCGCATTCTGAAGACCTACTAATGAAAGTTCCATTTCCTGTTTAAAGAATAGGCTGGCGCGAAGATAAATGGTAATAAGGAGGGAAAAAAGTTAGCAAACTAATCATTAAAGAAAAGAAACTTTTCTACCAAACCTTACCAGAAAGGGAAACGTGAGCAAGATATTGAAGTTAAACAATATCACAAATAATGCAACTCAACAAATTAAGCATTTAGCAGTGCAAAGAGCCTTGACAAAAGCTGATAGCAAGGTCAATTATTTTGAGTTAAAAATGGGTAATTTCAACAAAGACTAATCCAATTCTTCATTAGCTCTTTTGTTTCTCTTAAAAATCAGCACCTTTTTGTCTTCTTTTCTCTGCTAGCCTGCTCATTGCAAGCAGAGGCTAATAAATTGCTGAAAATTATTCCATGATATGAACAAATCCAAGAATAAAAAGATTACAGTTCTAGAGGTCAACTAGCACATGCAAGGCCATTGGATTGGGATAGATATAAAGGACACCGCTCAGAATATGTGGTGAGCAGGCATAAAACGATTGATTTGATACCTACTCGATTTATATAATTTTGTAATGAGGGCTTGTTCGGAACCTCTAGGAAAAGGTGATTGTGGCTCAACCTATGGAGAATACTAACAATGAAAGGGGGTGTTTAAGTCGAGAAAGGTGAAGTGGAGAACCAGACAAAGCACCAGAACAACTTAGTCCACTCCAATCCAACAAATGAAAAGATAGAGACACGTCCCGAAAGCCCTTCAAAGAAGAAACCCACAAGGAGACACACAATTGAATTCTATCCCGTAGAAAATCTACGTTCTCTACGTAGCAAAGCTCCTATTGGTTCACTCCAGCCAAATAAGAAATAACCCGAACAATAAACAAAACAGTGCAATTCCTCTAACTTATTTTCGTATAAAACCACTATGTCTTTCTTTGTACAAAATCTCAATAACCAACCACCCTCCTCTTGCTCACCAATCCCAAATCCTCTTAACCACCAGGCTAGCCTGCAAACACATCACCACATTTATCTTCTTTTTTTTTTTTTTTCCTCTTAATCATTCATAAAACTAAAATATTACGCTTATTAAGAGCTCAACTGAACCTACTCTCTCTCTTCTTCTTTTTTAAGGGTGATTCTGCGGAGTTCTTATGCTTTGAAGTCATGTCTACAATCCAGCTCACCCCCATTATTACACCGTAAGGAATCTAATTTCCTCATTGAACATCCTAACTACTCATAAACATGCGTACATACACACACACACACACTCATATATATATATATATATATATATCAAAGAATGAAACCAGCAACTAGTGAAAACTTCACATTATTATTACAAGGGCAACGACCGAAATTCAATAATCTATGAACCTAAATTCCTTTTTCTCTTTCACGAATGAAAGTTTCGCCCTTTTTTATTTTTGTGGGTGAAGAAAAGCTAAAATTAAAATAAGAAGTTAATTTCTTCCACCACTACCACCTATGTATCCATAGCTTTCTAAGGAAACAAACAGAAATTGAGAGAATCCCAAGCAAGTAGAACTAAATCAAAACAAAGCCCACAAATTTAACCGGAAAAATTAAATTAAATTAAAAGAAGAAAAGGAAGAAAGTATTACCTCCGGAGCCAATTGAGAAAAGAATCCCACAATCCCATTTTGAGTGTCGTCCGAGAAGAGAGATGGATTGAACAAGGAAAGCCCTAATTTTTGTTTGGTTAAAGGGGAAAGGAAACTTCGCCGACTGAAAAAGAATCTTTTACGACGTTGTCGTGTTTCTGTCCGTTTTCTGGTAGCTGTTGATACCACCGCTGGATTCGCTTCACAATTTTATTTTTATTTTTTTTCAAAAAAGAGGTTAATCGATATTCATGGGATATTCCGAACCCGATGTTAAATTTTGGGTTGGCCCCGCCACCAACAAACAACATTTTTTTTAGAGGATTTTTTTATTTATTTCAACGTTACGTGATTTTATTAGTGAATGTTAAAATATAATAAACAAGTTTAAATACTTTAAAAATAGCAAAAAAAAAAAATCTTATAATAGTTACTGTGCAAAAATTTATAATAGTTGTTATATAATCATGTAATTGAATATGTTTTTTAAAAAATTATTTATTTTTCAATTTCACTCATATAAATTTGTCATAGAGCGTAACTTTTATTTTGGTGAGAATAATTATTCACCAATATGATTTATTTTTTTTTGAAAAGCACCAATATGATTTATAAGTAAATTAAACTTAATTTTCCACAAAAATATACAATCGAACACTAATTTTCTAAATCAAGTTGTGGAATTTTAGTTAATCTTATCTTTTTTTTTTCATCAGCCAAAGTAGTGGAGTTCTTTTTCTTTCTTTCTTTCTTCTTTCTTTTTTTTTTTTTTTTTGAAAGCGTTCTTTTTTTTTTTATGTCATCTTTCGTACCGACATTTTCAAGCCTTTTGTGGCCTTTCCCAATTTATGTCGTTTCTAAGGTTTATTTCGTGTTTATGAATGGTATCGGTTTCCACCACCACTGCCGTTGTTTTGAGGAAATCTCGATTTATATCTATTTTCGTTTCTCCTTTTTATTGTCGTCTTGGTTATTGATCTCGATTCCGCAATATTAGTTTTAAGGTTGTTTTCGCTTTTCTGAACTCTTGTTTGAGGTTTGAGGTTGATGTCGTTTTTCTACGGTCGTTTATTCAGTTCCTGTCGTTTTCTGACTAGTTTGTATTTTGTTTCTTTTTGTCTAACGCCACGCCCATTATGGGATGTTGAATGCCTACAGACTATACAAGGAAAGTTAATTATTTTCTTGTCAAAGAAACACTCTTTTGAGAAAGTATAAAACGGGTTTCTTTTTCTCTTTTCTTCTCTTTTCCCCCCCTTAAATCTATCTTCAAATGACCGCATGTCAAGTTGTTGTGGTTCACAGATTTACTCTTTATACATTTAGCTCCAAAACCTTATTATATTTGTTTTCTTTCAATTTTAACCTTGAAACAAACCAAAAATACTAGGAAGTAGTGTTAATTTAGTTTGGATCTCCTCCATCAAATTCATATTTGTTTATTCCTTGTGGCAGTGTTTAATGCTTTTATTATTTCTCTCTCTTTCATTGTATGTGTGCATTTTCACTCAAATAGAAGCAGAAAAATATAATTCAAGTTGAAATTATTTACTCTTAGGTAAAGTACAAGATGGGAAAACAAATGACACGAGATTATAACAACAAACAATATATCGCCTAATTGTATAAATGGAATGAAGAAAGCTGTACAATGATAAGGAAAACAGGACATAATAGCATCTGAAACATGATAAACCAAGAAAAATATAGCTAATTTTCATTGAATCATCAGAGGTACCAAATCGGTACCGGTACTCATGAGTCATTTCGAACCGTTGGATCATGAAAATCTACCTTGATCCAAGAGCGGAATGGATACCGGTACCGACCTAGTACCTTAGATTTTTTTTTTCCTTGTGTATCAAGCAAACTAATTGTAGCATTTGTTTGTGGAAACTAATTGTTTGTGGAATCCCATGGCAGAATAGGCTGCCAAGCATCATTTGCAGGAGGCAAACCGAAAGGGAACCCGATGGACCGGATTGTTCCCCATTGGTTATTATTCACCTGAGCTGCTCCTGTGGTTCTCTTCAGATTTTCTAAATCTCCTTCTTCTGTGTCCAATTTCTCTTGCACATCATGTGGCAGGCTTATTAGGAATCCACTTAATTGGTGCTGTGACTGTAGGCCATCAATCACGACCGGGTTCAAAAGCATGGAAGCTTCATCAAGTGTGGATTTGGTGTTTCCAGAATCTTCCACTGGAGAGAACATAAACCCACTTGGGATTTCTCCATTTGAGAAGGGAAAGAAGGGTGCTTTAGTGGCTGCAGGACTAATTGGCCTATAAGGTAGGGTATGAATATTATCAGGAGCAGAGAAACTGGTTATGGAGTTTAGTTGCTGTTGTTGTTGTTGTTGTAAGTCACTATTACAGCATAAATGGATGGATGATCCTCTCTCAGTTGGACCGAGTTCTGTGCAGTGCGCGCTGCCTTGAGCGAACATTTCCGGTGCTGCGATCTCCGGTGGCATAGGAGAGATCCAAGAATGAGAAAGAGCTCTCTGTGCCAAGGAGTTTGTTTTCTTAAATATCCTGCAAATTGCCCATGAGTCCTGCTTTCGGTTCAAGGACAAAACAAAAGCAATAATCAATCACTCTGAACTAACTAATGAATTTGAATAAGGGGAAAGATTAAATTCGTCCCTGTATTCAGCTAAGTGGAACTTGACATTTAATCTTGTGCCTCAGACATTGCAAAAACACCACTTTAAAGTATCAATTCTTCTAAAATTATTTTCCTCTATTGGAATGTCATAACATTAGACAAAATAGAAAGTGTGTGTTTAGCATTGCTTGTCAGAAGTTGTTTTCGGTTTCCTAGATCCAAAGTTACTTCTGAAACTGTTCAACTGGCTCCTAGAAGAGCTTTGACTTTCCTAAAGAGCTTTTAATTAAAATCACAATCAAGTTTATCTTGACAAATCCTCTTCTTCACAACTAATTCTTAACCTTATTTAATGGCAATCTTCACTTCAAAATTTAGCCAAATATTGCACCAAAGCATCGAATATTCAAAAAAAAAAAAAGGTGATTTAAAGGTTTCTTTTGTAATTTCCAAATGCATGATCAAAAACTGCATTTCACTTGGACTTAAGGGGAGTGTTCTGTAACTTTTCCTTTGGAAAAACCATAGAGAGAAGGTTGATTAAGATCAAAATATGCTTACTTGGGCAGGAAAGCTTTTGTCCAAAAGCCTCTTGGGCGGTGATGGTGCCTGCAACTGCGAGTCGGAAACAGACGACGAAGAAGAAGAAGGCAACCGAAACTCGTGCATCATCCAGTCAGTTTTGAAGCCTTTAGCAGCCCTGCCTCTGTAGAACACAAGGGACTTCTTCAAACCAATACACTTGCTTCCATCAGAGGAGTAAATAGGCCTGTCTGTCCCCGTAGCTTTCCAAAACCCCATTCCGGTGACTCTATTCGGCCGCACACTATTCCTGTATTTCCTGTCTCTTGGGCAGTAGAAGTACCACTCTTTCTCTCCTGTACTTGCCAGCTCTTCTTGAACCAAAAGTGACCATAAAAAATAGTTAATACTCAAGCATATTAACAAAGGTAAAAAGAAGCGAACAAACAAGTGTTTAGTGAAGTATTATCTCACTTGGAAGGTCCCAAGGATCATATTTGTAAATGTCAACTTGCTTGATGAGCTCAATAGAAAGAGGCTGTTGCTGAACTTTTCTCCTGAGGTAAAACCCAACAAGCTCCTCATCTGTTGGATGAAACCGAAAACCCGGCAACATCACATCATCAACCTTGTCCAATATCTCACTCTTTTCTTCCATGTTTTTCTCCTGATTCTCTCTCTTGTGAGTTCAAATCAGGAGGTGAAAGATGCAAAGATCAGCAAACTTGGTTGCAACTCTCACCTAGCACATGTTCTGTGGTGGGGGCTAGTTTGTACTTTTATTAATTGAACAAAGAAAACAAAAGTTTTGGGAAAAGCTAAACCAAGACCCCTTTTGAGTTATAATAGTATTTATGTGCCTAAAAGAGAGAAAGAATACCACTAATGGTTGGTGTAGAGTTTGAACATGAAACACAAAACTAGTTATGGTTTGTACGGTTCACTTTGGACAAGCCAAAATCTGCCTCCCAAGAAGGGGGTTTATTTCCGAAGCTTGAGCCGCCATTTCGGGAAGAAGACTAAGGAAAGAACGTGTATGGTGGGAATTAAGACTCTGAGACTTAACAAGACCTATATATATACATGTATGTATGTATGTATGTATGTGTGTATATATATATATATGTACGTATATTAAATAAAACAAGTAAAGAACCCCAAGTCGAGAGAATAGGACTTTTGTGTTCTTTTGTAATTTCTTAGAACACCCCTTGTTTATATGTGCTTGGTCCAAATTAAGGATCTCAAAGAGGACTACAAAAAATAAGAGATGTGTTGGGACTTAAAATAAAACTCAAATAGAAGCCTCTTTCTTATTTATCCACAAGACAAAATAGCAAACCAAGGTTCCATGTCACAGTCTTATTGTTTTTTTTTTTTTTTAAATAAATAAATAAGTTTCCTTTTTGAATTATTTTTAAAATTTAATCGAACCTTAGTTTCAATGCAAACCATATTAAATGGATCAGCTTTCAAGGAAAAAGCTCAAGTTAATAGTCAATGTAATAAGAGATCAGATTCTCTGCATTTCTCCTGAAAATTCCTCTTAGACCCCTTTTAGGACAACTATCATTTTTGGCATCCCAACGTTCCAAAGAAGCCAAATATTTTCATTCATTATTCCCAAAACTTCTATTCCCTTATTCTGCCCTGTCCATGAATGTCACGTGTCAGAAATCAAAATGAAGATATATCCTCCCCTGAGTGATTTAAGCGTTCACTTCGCGGATTCGAGTTTTCAATTTGAGTTGAGATGTGACATTTTTTTAAAGCTTTTTACTGTAGCAGAAAAAGTTAGATATGGCATTTTCTGAGAGCTTTTTACTGTAGAAACTTAAAACTGAAAATTCGAATCGGTGAAATAAACGATGCCTTAAAGTCTGATAATAGGACTTATGGGGCCCATTTACTACTTTAGAACATAGTAAATAACATTTGGAGCTTATTAGTGCCCCTTAACATCTGCTTTATATATACTCCTCTCATTAACTTTCATCGCCATAAATATTATCTTTGGTAGGGGCGGTTCCTCTTAGTTCTACCACTATAAGATTTTCATCGAATTTTATTAGATGTATAATCTTTTACTATGATATAATTCTGATACGAGCAATAATCTTACCCGCTATCATTAGCCAGTAGAAATATTTCTTTTAAATTCTACTGGAGAATTCTCCCAATCAAATACGAACAAACATGAACTAAAATGATTATTAGTAATGCAAATAGGTTCTTGACAAATTCAGGCACACATGTGCTTGGGCTTAATTTTGTTTCGAAGTTGATGGTTGAATTATTATCAGAGAAATAAGAATGGATGGTTGAACAACGTGTAAGAATGACAGTTGAACAACTATATTGTAAAGTAGATTTATCATATCATTTGACATCGTAAGTTGTACAAATTTGTGGTTACAGGTATAGTCTAGTGGTAATATCACACTTGATGTCACCGTAAAGTGAACGAGTTCGAATCCCTTACTCTCAAGTTCAAAAAATAAGTTGCACAAATTCTTGGAGGTAAAATAAAATTAAATGTTTGTAAAGATATGCTAGGAATAAGCTGATGAGAAGGGTAAAATCAATATTAGATTGAATTTCAATGGGATTAGTGAAACTTTGACCCTTCGCTTTGTTTCGTAACACTAAACGTGAATTGGGAACATGAGAAAAGGAAAAAAAAAAAAAATTGAGGAATGATTATTGCTTAACATAAGCCAAATATTACCCTTTCTATTTGGCTTAGAGATATAAGGTATCTTTTGGTACTCAAATCTATCATTGCTTACCAAGGTATAAGAAAAGGAAAGAGCGTAGATTAATTGCACTTGATTTTTTTTTTTTTTTTTAAATATAAAAGCCCTTGATTTTAAGAACATTGGAAAATGAAATTCCTAAACTTAAGAACTTTTTTTTGGTAATGCTGGACACCGGTTTTGAGAAGCCGCATTTCTTCCAAAGGTTGGGGACTTGGGAAGTCTTAACTTCAATTTGCTAGAAAGACAATTGTACCCATGTTTTTCACTATATTGCTCAACAAAACCTATGGGAAATTTTGTCCTTTTACTACCAAGTTAAAGAAGAAAACTTCCCAAGTTAATAATTGGTGTTGCAAAAATCACTGCGCTTTATTTTGAACTAATCAGTTAAGTCCATTGCCTAAGTTTGCTAAATTCATGTCTGCCGTGTGGATAACAAGAGAGGAAGCAATAATAAATAGGTTGAAGATCTTTAGTTTTAAATATGGCCAACTGGGGACTCCAAAGTAATAGTGGAATTAGGGATGGCAATATTCTCAACAGAGGCGAGGACTCACTTAAAATGGGGTGACGATGGGAAACAATTATCGGGAATGGGTATAAAATTTAGTCCTCAATTCGTGACGGGGTGGGGTCGGAAGAAGTACTTCCCACCCCGCCTCCCATGATATTAATATATTTTTTTATGTAAATATATATATATATATATATACAAACATAATCTCTTAAAATTTCAAGTTTTTTGAACTATGATGGACTCCAAAGTAATAGTGGAATTAGGGATGGCAATATTCTCAACAGAGGCGAGGACTCACTTAAAATGGGGTGACGATGGGAAACAATTATCGGGAATGGGTATAAAATTTAGTCCTCAATTCGTGACGGGGTGGGGTCGGAAGAAGTACTTCCCACCCCGCCTCCCATGATATTAATATATTTTTTTATGTAAATATATATATATATATACAAACATAATCTCTTAAAATTTCAACTATGATTCTTGAGAAGAAATAGCATGCAATCATGCAAATGAAGATTGAAGCTATTAGGAATAGACAAGCAATGATAATTTGCGTTTATATTTTTATGTTTTTAAACTTTTTTTTGCTTATACATTAGTTAATACTTTTGGATTTAGTTTACAATATGTTAAGAATTTAATTTTTATTATGGAACTTTAGATTTTGGTATAAATTTATAATGAATTTCTATTATATTTTTATTTTAAGTTGTTATAATTTTGAAATACATAATCCTATATAATAGAGAATGGAGCGGATATAAAAAAGACTTCCACAATGTGAAATCCCCGACTCCAATCCTGTCTCTTCTTAAGCGAAGATGGGGATGGGGATAGGGATAGTTTAAGGAGGCGCGGATGGGGATGGGAGATCATCGTCTGTCCCCACCCCGCCTCATTACCATCTCTAAGTGAAATTCCCTAAATACTAGCTCTCTCGTTTGAAGCTCTTCTTGTCTATTCCAAAGTAGCCTAGAGTCTGGAACCCATGCGTGTAACCAAAGTTGAAAAATGGGTCAAACTCTTCTAAACTAAATTTTCTAACCTCTTTACTTGTAAACATTAAAATATAAAATTAGGGACTCTTTTCGGTAGGTTTTTATATTGATAGTGTCAGTTTTTTACAGTTAAATTCGGTCAAAATCATATTACAAAAAATATGCAAAACATACAGCTTTTTTTTATACAAATCTGCCAGATAGAAAAGTAAAAACTACTGATAGTAGTTCTACCAGACAAACTCTCCTAAAATTAACCATGTCCCTTGTGAAGCAAATCCACATCAATGCTATTAACTAATGTATGGTTTTTAGCTGTAATAATACTCCTTCAAGCAATGGAGTTAATAATTGCTTTCTTATATATTGTACCACTTCAAGTTTCATTGGTCCTCACATTTACTTAAAGTTGTTTCCACTTCATTTTATTTTTTTACCTTTATTCTTTTTATTTTATAATAATAAATAATGGGACAATTCGAAGTAATCTAACTAATCCAAAAAGGAACTATTAAAAAAAAAGCGTGTTAAATTATGCCCGCAATATAAATACGTAAGAATTTTCTAAGTTTGAATTTTTGTATCTCGACTCCAATTAGCTAGGGTGCATTGTCACTTGGAAAACCATGCAAACGAAAATATTTAGTTATCCGAGTGAATATTCTCTTTTGTTTTCAATCTTAAAAAACTTTTTTCAGAGATTTGATTTTCATGATTATCGATAACAAAGCTGGTACGTCAAATATAGCACGTTAACGAAAATTTTAACCATCTAATTAAATTTTTTTTACTTACTTCTCGCGCCCAAAAACAAAGTGGATAAACTTTTTTGATACGTAGCTAATAAGTAAATTGCCTCTCCTTTCCGCTGCAGGAGCGACCTTTTCGAAAATGAAAACTGTAACTATCTTTCGGACTTCAGTGGTTTGTTAAATTAATTTATCTCTTTCATTTTTTTGAGGAAAAATTATCTCTTTCATTTACAATTGTTAATACTTTTCCTCCTTTTTTTTTTTTTTTTTCAATTTTGTGTTCGTTTTTTTCTGTATTCTTTCGTATTTGCTAACTTTGTTAATTATTTTAATATAATATTCGTCGGCAGGCATCATCTGCATGCATGGCAGGCAAATGTGGTCATTATGTAGTGGATATAACATATCAATATCTTTCAATATCATCATACAGTAAAAGTACTATAAACCCAAAAAAAAAAATCAACTTTATGTTTTATGGCCATTAATGGTAATTCTAATATATTTTTTTTCTGATAGATTTTGTAGGCATTTGACTAGTAAGAATTTCACTATGAATTTGGTCCCCCTAGGTGGGCACTAGCTGCATATATATATATATATATATATATAGACACACACATATAAATATATGACTTTAGTTAGATCTTCAAAACATTAATATGTGAGGATAAGTAATCAGAAGTTAGTTAGATGTGAACCAATTTTCATTTTCGGGTTTGAAAAGATAGACTTCATCGTCAGTAAAAATTGTTCAACTATAGCCAGTTCGTTTGTGATTACTAATACATTTAACCTCTTTTTTTTTTTTTTTTATGACCAATCTAGGATTTCGGCCACGTTAATTGTTTCAAACTATCATTCATAATAAATGGAGTACAGCCTAAGCTTGCCTTATTAATCGGTAGCTCCATCATTTTCTTGAATATAAAAGCATATATATTGTATTTTTCTAGGATTGAAGAAAAAGAGAAGAACACTGTTAAATAATTTACTGATCTATGTGACACATGATTTTACTATAGACCTAAGTTGTTACCAATTACCTTTGGCTTAAGTTTCCAAATTTGAATTTTGTGAGACGAGAAAAGGGGGTTCTAGTTGAGTAAGATGGCGATCTCAAACTCAACAACTTAAAAGAAGAAACTAGCATATATAATATACATACATACATAAATATTATATACATACATAATATATAACAGAAATATATATATATATACGTCACTATTGCTCAACATTTTTAAGCATGTATATACAGGGATCTAGATGTCAAACACAATTTAGTAAAATCTTTTTGGAAAGTGACTGGTTTCCGTCCTATTTGAATTTTGATAATAAGCGAGTTTTATAATCCAACCAGATTTTAACTTCTTGTTTAACCGATAAGACACTATTCAAACCCTTATCGCTTGTTGAAAACCATATTGTGAGACCACTGGAGAGAGCTACATGGCTAACTTATCTCGAACATATTATAATTGTGCGAAAAATATAATCAAGACTGCCTCCTAATAATTAAGTTATTTTTCGATGGCTATTTACAGAGTGTTTGTTTTCTGTATTCATTATTGATTCTGAATCATGATTCATGATTTTCTACAGTATTTTTTTCTCATAAAAAATACACGTAAAACGAAAATAATTCTGAATCATAGTTCTGAATCTATGAACTAAACGTTCACTAAAATAATTTCCTTTGAGGTTGAAATTAGAGAACAGCCGTGCAGGTCCATAGAGTTTGGAAACGGGAAATTACTGATTATTGCAATTATAATGAGATCAGTTTGATTTAGATGTATGAGATTCCATAATATAAAAACTCAAAGACAATGAAAGGGAAAAAAGACAATAATTAAGGAAACTAATTAACTTGGTTGGATTTCAAAAATGGTATATATTGGAACATGTGGGGTATCCTTTACATCAATTGATTGTTATGTATACTAATAATAATTATAATCAATTACCACAGCTAAAATTCATTTCCCCTCCTATCTATAAAAAATCGCGTTCAAGAATGAGTTGATAAATAACTACTGCTGATGGGACTTTTGGAGACATGATATCATCAGCATATTCCTCTTGTGAACACTGTGTTATCTATTAACATAGTCATCTACTAACCAATCATGTCAAGTTATGAAATATTAAAGATATCATGATCACTTAAAAAGACGTGTACTAGGACTCTCCTAATTAACTATGAAATTATTACTATCAAATTATTGGCCACAAAAATCATGATTCGGGTCCATACGGGAATGGTATGACGCAAATGTGAACAAAATTATGATCACTTTGAAATTTCAAGATGCCAGTAATAAAACAGGAAGCATCTGACATAAATCTCTTAAAAAAATAAGTATACGTTTTACTCATGCCACTGCACATCTAAATATTATACAACACATTGATCAAGTAGGGAACGAACTTTACACGCATTTAAAAGAAAGACTATTACACTAATTTATAAATCATATATTATACATATAATTTGTAACTAGGGTCGTGATATCGCGTATGCATTTGGTTATGATTTCTTGTTTCCTTTCTTTCTGATCATTTTTTTCTTTAAATTTCTTTCCACCCTTTTTGACATTTGGAATTTGATCAATTTTACAAACACCTGGATCATATGAAATGCTAGAAATTGCAAGAAAGAGGAAGGAAATTACGAAGAAAATGCTTTAAATTCTTATTGTTATGTTCAAAATATTGTAATCTACTTCTAGTTTTAAGATCAGCTTACCTATGTGTCGCCTCTAATTATAGAATAATAGTAATAAGCTAGACGGGACATTTGATTATAATAGTAAAGTGGAACTACGGCTAGACATTGACGTTTAGCTAATATTCCACGTTCACACTCATTTATACAGAAGTTAACCCCTCTTCTGTCCTCAAGCTAAAAATAAATAAACAGTAATCTAGCAAAATAGAAGTCGTATATATCTGGAAGTTGAATTTTCTTTGCTAAACTATATAGCTAAAGACTTCTTTGTGACCATTTACATGCATCATCAAATCGAAATGTCAAAGCCTTTGAATAGCTCCATATTGTTGGACCAAATCTCTTGGTTAATACCCAGAAAAAAAAAATTATGTAATGATCGGATGATTACAATATTAGTACTGAAACACTTTGAATAAGCACTTTGAGGATGATCAATTTTGCTTTAACAAAATATTTTGTTATTTATGGAATGTAAACGTCATGTCGTTTTCATATAAGAAGGATAGATCATCCTATTTGATCTATTATACGACATGTCGCTCACATTTCATACAGAAACAACAGGAGTCTTATCTAAAGGAAAAAACGACATTTCTTTTACATCGTCCTAGACAACAAAACGACATGTCGTTTATATAAATCTCATTACCTGTATCAAATCTTTGGGTTGTGCCAAAAGTTTAAAAAATTATTAATTTGTTGGTTGCAAATTGCAAGCACAGTACCATTAATCAAGCTTACCTGTCTCAGTTTCTCTTTGCTGACAATGCTTAGTTTGGTACAATAATAATCATATATTATATATACACCGTTCTTCATTTTCATCTTCCATTCAATATTACAACATGCTATTCTGAAGACGACAGTTTTGATGATTCTCAGTCATGAACTCTTTTCCTCTAAGGTGACAGGAAGCTCCAGATTTTCACTGCCCCTCTGAATCTTTAAGGTTACTTGGTCTCCCACATTATAGTCATCCAGTGCTTTGTACAGCTCTGCTTTGTTTTTTACCTGAACATTAGAAGCACAAAGTGTTGTTAATTAAATTCATAAGATCAAAACCAACAGATTAGAACATTCTTTGTACAGCTCTGCTTTGTTTTTTACCTGAACATTAGAAGCACAAAGTTTTGTTAATTAACCAGATGATTCATAAGATCAAAACCAACAGATTAGAACATATGTTGGGGAAAACAAAGCTTAGATGCAGAAATATTAGGGGGAATTTTCAAAAACCTCCCCTCAATGTTAAGCTTTTTGGACAAATAACATTGACTTTTGTGGCAAATCTTTCCTCCCCTGGAGTGATTGGATTGGGAAAATAAAATGAAATACCAAATGTGCCCTTGTTACATCATGTCCGAATATAGATGGAGTGTGTAAGCCCTTGGCTCCAAACAATGTTTAAGGGTAAATTTGACATTTCACATTTTTTTGATCCAATGCGGGTTGAAAAGCAACGGATTTGCAACATAAGTCAAATTTGAGTTATCAAATTGTAGTTTCTGGAAATAAGAGTTTATTCGTCAAAAAAAGTGAAAATAGAGGAAGGTTTTCGCAAGTGCCCCTAAATATAATACTGCAGATCTTACATGTTGGTAACAGAAAGCACATTGTTATAAATGGAGATAAATAACAGCTTACAGGTAAGTTGTCAACTGCTACAATGATATCCCCAAGTATGATTTTACCCGCGAAGCCTCTCGTGGTGGGAAGTAGCCCAGCCTTAGCAGCAAGACTATTTCCAGGGACCTATAATGGGCAATGCATGGAAAATTTAGGCATAGGATTAACGATGCATAAGCAAGAATTATGAGACGTTTGGTTCATGGATTAGAATCGTGAGATTAGAACCATTTTCGATTTATGTGAATTTTTTGTGAAAAAACACTGTAGCGAACCATGAACCATGATTCGAATCGGGGTATGAATCCTCTAACCAAACAACCCATTAGTTTTTCACATATGGGATCTTTCTCTTTCTTTCTCTTTTTCCAAGGAATAAAAGGGTTATGGGATAGAGGGTGGCTTATCCAGATTCCCCTAGGGAGACGCGACATCTGTCGCCGTGGCCGAACCAACACCTTGTTGAGGAAAATGAACAACCTTACCACCCCACCAAATGCCTAGTGGTGCTAATATAGGGGAGTTCAAAAACAGTCAGATTATTAGTCGATGGGCAAAACAGACTACTCCACAATGATACCTGAAGAACAAGAGCTCCATATCGAACATTGAGTTGATTTGCAATAAGGTCCGGGGCAATATCCACATTCAAACCTGCTTGAAAAACCTGATAGAATGAAGAAGAGACATAAGAGGAGAAACTTTCACATGGGGAGGGAATGCGCATAAATAACAAAGTCTAATAAATTTGGTAAAAAGGTATTAGATTATTGTTATTATGAACTTTTTTTTCCCCTTTCCCTAATGAATGGTCTTCTCTAGGAAGCTATTATCAAAAATGAGAAAATTTAGAACAATTTCAAGGACAAATCTAGAAAGGCAATAAAAACTATAAAAGGCGTGCCTATAATCTCTATTAACAAATAGAATCGCAGAAGGGAGAGATGAAGACCACCCATCTTTTATCCCTATATATAAAGAACCAAGAAAAGCAAGCATATTTGCACATTATAAATGGTTAACAACAATATTTACCTTGCCAAATTGGATCAACTGGGGGACAATCTTTAGTACAGTTGAGGATGGAATGGCAAAACCTACTCCCGCTGATGTACCTGCAACACAAACAAGGATTTTTTTTGCCTGAGAAGGGGAGGAAGAAAACAACCACCAAGAATAAAGTGTGAAAATGTTAGGAACCTAATATTTAGAAGTCTTTTTCAATAGTCTTAAGGGGAGTATAAATAGGGGGTTTAGTTGTTAGGGAGGGGGAGAATCAGATTTGTCGGGAGTGTCTAGTGCTGTGCACTATTTTGGAGGTTGGGGGTCCTCGAAACTGCTCATCTATCTTGTAATTTTCTATTTCTAGTATTGTTAATGAAGCATAGATTTTCAGGATCCTAACAATGGTATCAGAGCATCTACGATCCATGGAGCTCTTTGAGTTAAGAGAGAAACTTAGGGCTGCTCTAAGATCCTAACAATGGTATCAGAGCATCTACGATCCACGGAGCTCTTTGAGTTAAGAGAGAAACTTAGGGCTGCTCTAAGAGCTAATCACAAGGTTTATGGAGGGAGTATGGGGGAACTCCGGGACCAAGTGGGGAAGATTCGGACCCAGATGGGTGACTAGCGGGCGGCGCTGCGGAGGATGGAGGCACTGCTGGCGGCACGGAGAGCCCAGATCGCATCGACCTAGGCAGAGTGGAGGTGCCAAATCGGGCGGATCTTCGCCGGGAAGCGCCAATTCGCGAAGATCGAGGCCGCAAGAGGGAGTTCCGACGCCGGAGAGACGTGGGTCTCATGGAGGAGCGCAAGATCCGTCGCGATCTGGGGCTGGGAGGTCCGGATCTGCAGCGCGAGGGTTTGTTCGACGACGGGAGGAGGGCAGAAGGAGGTCGCGACCGTCGGGAGAGGGCAGCGGAGCTTGGTTGGCAACGGGAACTGGAGTGGGAGCCAGAGTTAGAGCAGGAGAAGCTTGCTCCGAGGCTGGGACGGCATGGGTACCCTCGGAACAGGGGACCCAGCCTTGATTCGATCGCGGTTGGGGCTGATTCCGGACCGGTTTGGACTGGGCCTCGCGATTCTGGCGTGAAAGGGGCTGGTTCCGGTGCAATGGAGACAGATTCCGGCGCGACGGAGGCTGGGCTCGACGATTTGGCTGCTATTTGGATAGGGCCTCACGATTCCGGCATGAAAGGGGTTGATTCCGGTGCTACAGAGGTAGATTCCGGCGGAATTGTAGTGGAGTCTCGTAATTCTGACTCGATTAAGGTTAATCCCGGTGAGATTGGTGTTGTTTTTGAAAATTCCGGCCAAATTTGGAGCGGGTCTCATGATTCTGACGCTGTTGAGGCTGTTTCCGGCGAGGTTGGGGCTGATTCCGATCCGGTTTGGACTGGGCTTCGCAATTCCAGCGTGAAAGGGGTTGGTTCCGGTGCCACGGAGGCAGATTCTGGCGGAATTGGAGTGGGACCCATGAATTCTGACGCTTTTAATGCTGGGTTTTGTGATTTTGACACCATTGGGGCTAGCTCCGGCGAGATGATGGCCAGGACGTGGAATTCCGATGAGAAATCCGGCGATTTTGGGGCTGAATCCTGAAATTCTGTTCAGAATTTGGCTGGGTCTAGTGTTTTCGGTATGGGCAGAGTCAATTTTGGGGTTGAGCCTCGTAATTACAATATTAGTTGGCCTAATTTTGGTGCAAGGGCAGTTAGGCCTCAAAACTTTAACACGTTTGGGGCTGGGAATGGTACGATTGCAGTTGAGTGTGAAGAAATTGGTGAGACTGAAGTTGAAAGGTTGATGTCTCGGTTGGCTAAGAAGGAAACTCTCTTAGTGAGGATTGATTTGCCAATATTTTTTGTGACCATTGATGAGCTTGCGCAGAGAGTTTCAAATGAATTGATAGACGTTGTGGTTGCTTTCCAAGATACAAAGAAGATGGAGAAGAAAGTAATTGATTGGCTCCAATTTGAAGACGTGACTTACGAGGACACAAATTGGGGACTCAAATCAAGGAACTAACAAAGCCTTTTGTTCTTAATCATTTAGATGTTATTTTTCAATTTTATTTCTTGATTTTCACCTTGACGACAAGGTGATTCTTTGAGGCGGGGGTAATGTTAGGAACCTAATATTTAGAAGTCTTTTTCAATAGTCTTAAGGGGAGTATAAATAGGGGGTTTAGTTGTTAGGGAGGGGGAGAATCAGATTTGTAGAGAGTGTCTAGTGCTGTGCACTATTTTGGAGGTCGGGAGTCCTCGAAACCGCCAATCTATCTTGTAATTTTCTATTTCTAGTATTGTTAATGAAGCATAGATTTTCAAGATCCTAACAGAAAACTTTGAAGAAAACCAAGCATGGAGAGGAAATCTACCTGTCTGAGTAAATATTGCAGTGTTAATCCCAATTAAATTTCCTTTGGAATCCAACAGGGGCCCTCCACTGCCATAATTACAGGAAAAAATATAAGCGGCAGATAGACAAAACATTAATAAGAATTTTTCACTCAATCATTCAAAAATTTATTTCATTCGGAAACTTAAAACAATCAAATTGTGTAGTGGAAATTTGTCTCTTACCTATTTCCAGGATTGATGGCTGCATCTGTTTGGATTCCGCCACTGATTGTGACTCCAGTTTGACTAAAAATGTCACGGTTCAATCCACTAATCACTCCAACAGTGAGGGTGTGATCAAAGCCAAACGGATTTCCAATTGCCAAACATTGTTGCCCCACTCTTAGCAAATATGACTGCCCCACAAGGATTGGCTTCAATAGCTCTTCAGGGGCTTCAACCTAGCAATGTGAAGACATTACTGAGTACTCTTACAATATTAACAAGCTTCAAGAATAACTACAATATTTAATGATTTGATTCATCTTAAACAAAACTTACCTTCAAAACAGCTAGGTCCTTTGCGCGGTCAGCACCAACCAACTTGCCCTCAAAATTCTTTTGTACCCTTCAGGAATTTTCAACAACAAAAGAATAATAACGAAATTGGCCATCAAATACTCAAAAATTTAGTGGCATAATAAGATGCACTGCACTGCATATCTCACCCTTCTGATGCTAAAATATTAACCCGCGCAACAACCTGCCCAGGGCTTGGATTTCTTGTGAGGGAATTACCAATTACTGCAAATAAAGGAGCACAAAAGTCCACATAATAACAACAGTATCAAAATGAAAGCCTATATGTTATATTTAACAACTCTAACAAGTTCCTTAGACATCCCTTACCATGATAATTTGTCACAATATGTCCTTGTCCATCCCAGACTACTCCAGAACCATTGCCCTCCGGAACCTGCCGATACATGTAACAATCCTTAATTGAGTTATGAAGAACAATAAGATGTCATAAAGCCTTAAAACTCAAATGGGGAGAAATAGCAATGATGATAATTTTGCTTCCTAAATACCTCAACTGCACCAGTCACATTAAGCTGAGGCCGCAATGTTACGTCGAAAATGTTGGCAACCGAATAGGTGTTCTTCTCAAAGAGTTGGACAATTCTATTCTGTCAATTAGACACACATCAAGACCATTTAACACCATGAACATAATAGGAAGGAAAAAAAAAAGTTCAGAAACATTAAAATTAAGGGTGAACCGTTCACACGCACACGTTCAAGTCAGTGATTCTGATTTATTAAAAGATACTTTATAAGTGAAGAAATTTTTAAATTTAAATTCTTTTTAATGTGAAAAATACTATAGCAGAATCAGAATTTAAGTATAGAAACCAAACAGGCCTAAAAATAAAATATGATCACGGCATGGTAAAAAAAATGAACCTCAGTGGGAAAAAGTGCCGGAGAAGGGGAAACTGTGGGGGTCACTTCTTCAATGGTTACAGATGGATCCCCTAAAGCTTGTGCTGAAAAATCCATATCATCACATCACATTATTCTCAGAAGCAAGTTTTTCCCACTTGGCTGATTAAAAAGGTAATGAATATCTATTCTAACACAAGATTCATCCTTGAAGCAAAAAAAAAATAATAATAATAATAATAAAATAAGGCTTTAAAGTGGTGCGGACCTGGTAAGTACCTTGAAGGATGAAAAAATGAATACAAAAACAAAGCTGAGAATAATGCCCGCCTTGTTGTAAAAGGAGTAATCTTTGTCAATAATTGGCCCAAATCCTTGGTGGGATTTTCAGCACTAAACAAGAACCAACCAAAACCGCGTTACACAAATGTTGAGAAGCACTAAGATGTCTCAATAACCAAAAAAAAAAAAAAAAAAAAAAAAAAGAAAGAAGCTAAGAGATATACAACAGTTGAGAGTTCAGAGTGACCAAAGATTCAATGGAGGCAGATAAGAGCTTGGACTTGTTTGGGTTTGGGCTGGGTGTTCTGTGCCTAGTGTCTACGGTTCTCTGTGTTAGTGCATTTACTAAAATGCCCTCCGAGGATAACAGATTTTTATATTAAAAAAATCGTCAAACTGTAATTTTTTTTTTTTAATTTCTCAAATTAGAATTTCGCAATTGTTCCAATTTGCCGATCCAACAAGGTAGAAAAACATTAGGGATGAAGGTATTTCTGTATTTGCACACGTAAAGATTTCTATATAATAATCCAGTTTTTACTTTACCAGTGCAAATTACGAGATACAATTCCAATACAATAATTCTTAAAAAAAAAAAAAAAACAATGGAATATAACTTGAGGAACAAGAGAAAAATGGGCAAAAGAATAAATAATTTTGCTGAAATAAAAACCAACGAACAACAAAAAGTCAAGATGGCCGAGTTGGTCTAAGGCGCCATTTTCGGTCCTTCGGATACTGGTCCGAAAGGACGCAGGAGTTCGAATCCGATTTTTGATATTCGTTTTCTGCTTTTTTGCACGCTATTTCATACACTTATTGAAGGAATTTTTTTTTTTGGGTGATTGCTAAAAAAAAAAAATTTTAATTTGTTTTTTTGGATGGAAACCTTCTTAACTTTACGAATTTAGCAAGTTGGTCCTTTAATTCTTTTTCTTGACAATTCACCTTTTAAATTTTAAAATTTATTACATTATCGGTCAAATTAAAAACGAAGTTAAAAATTTAGATGGTTTCTTCTATTCGAGTGTTTAATAAAAATAATTCTAGTCTTTTTGCATCAAATTGAATCATTTATACATGTCATGAATGAATTTTTTTTTGAAATTAGGGGACTCCCAATTTGTACCTCAAAACGGTTAACTCTCAATTTCAAATAAATTTTCGCCGGTGATGCGTATATGAGGGTCAATTCGATGCAAAAAGATATTAATTACCCCTCATTAAACACTCACAAGGAAGATACAGTCTAAATTTGTAACTTCATTTTTAATTTGACCAACATTGTAATAAATTTCAAAGTTTAAGAGGTGAATTACTAAAAAAAAAAGTTAAAGGGTCAATTTGCTAAACTCGTAAAGTTGAGGGAGTGTTCATGCAAAATAGCCTTTTTTTTTTCTAAAGTTGAACCACGCTATCATGATACAGTCTAAATTTGTAACTTCGTTTTCAATTTGACCAACATTGTAATAAATTTCAAAGTTTAAGAGGTGAATTACTAAAAAAAAAGTTAAAGGGCCAATTTGCTAAACTCGTAAAGTTGAGGGAGTGTTCATGCAAAATAGCCTTTTTTTTTCTAAAGTTGAACCGCGCTATCATGGTCCGATGTGCGTTTCCAAAATCATAGATTATAGTTCTTTTTAGGATTATTATCGGTGGTGCCCCCTGAATTTTAAAGTCATTCTCAGTTTGCTCTCTGAACTTTAAAAACTCCCACTTTGCCCCGTAAATTTTAAATTGTTCTCACTTAACCCCTTTTGTTGTAATTTATGTTAAAAACATATAAAAAAGAGAGTAATGCAGTCACCTAGTATTACTGTTTGAATTTTTGTTAAAAATAAACAAATTAAAATCACATGGCCACGGGCCCACACTTAAACCCTCATTTTTCTGTCTAATAAAAATTTAAAAGACAAACTGAAAATGACTTTAAAATTTAGGGCACCAATAATAATAATCCATCTTTTTAATTTTAGGTTAAAACTTTTTTTCCTGTAAACTTTAACCTTTTCGCTTATGTTTTCTTTTTTTGGTGTAGATAATAGTCAAATACGAACTCCATGTGTGGAGTTTGGCCGCATTAGAAGATTTTTCTGGCGTAATGAAATTAGAGAAAGAGAACATGAAAGTTGAATAAATGACTTTTTACTATTATTCAATATGATATCGGATGATATCTTGACGCTCAAAATAGGTTACATTTTTAAATAATAAATACAATCTTTTTTCAAACTCATATACATCTGGAGGCTTAAGAAAGAGTTCGTTTCGACTGGTTCAACTGTAATCTTCATGAATATAACGATTATGAAAAAAACCTCGTACCATTAAGGAATGAATAGGGATGTGTTCGCAGAGCCATAATAATAGGGATATGTCGTTTAAACACACGAAGAAAGAGAAATACAAATACATAAAGTTATCATAGACAAATCACTCAAAATTTCACTCTACTAAATGGATAACCATATTGCATGGAAAAAAAAAAATATATATATATATAT